TGATGAGCAGACCGTGAGCAATCATTGTAATACTATATGAAAGGAATTGACAGTAGTGGGAAACTGCCGCTAGGTGAAGCCATGAGAGAAAGAGCCACACCAATGAGTGCAAAGACTTTCTCAACTGTTCTCCTACCCAAAGGAACTCAAAGTTCTTGGCTGACCTCACCAAGTGGCACAATTTTGCCTTACAAAGTAGGACTTCCATCTCTGGTCAAGAATAACTAGTACCAGATTTGCCTTCCTGTTCCCTACAGAAAACCGGGCAACAGGCAGTACAGACTGCGGTCACTCAGAGAAGAGAAATCAATGAGGCAAGTTCTGTGATTACTCAGACTTTTTGCCTAAAGTCACTTCTAGTTCATAACATAGGAGGAGAAGCCGGGCTCGGTGGCTCAGCCTGTAATCCCGCTCTTTTGGGAGGCTGAAGTGAGTGGATTGCCTGAGCCCACGGGTCCCGCCTGGGCAGCAAGACTTCATCTCTATAATAAAAATCAAAAAAATCAGCCAGGCGTGGTAGCGCATGCCTGTAATTCCAGCTACTCGGAAGGTTGAGGCAGAAGGATCCCCGGAGCCCAGCAGTTCGAGGCTGCGGTGGCCAGGAGCAGCCACTGCACTCCAGTCTGGGCGACAGAGTGAGACTCCAACTCAAAAAACAAACAAAAAAAACATAGGAGGAGACCCTAAGTAAAGCACAGTCATTTTGCTGAGTTGGAGTAGAGACTGGAGGTTGAGGCTGCTGGACTTTACAGAACAGTGCACTGAAGGGAAAAGCATTACAAAGAAAATAGTTCCAGATTAGAGGTTGTTTGGAGTCTTTGACTGAATACCATGGACAGATTTACAGGTAAATTAGACTCCAAGAGCCAGGCACAGAACAGTTACAGGGGAAAACACAACCACTGACAGCCGTAAGCAGAACAATTTCCAATGCTAACATAAGGGTGGAAAATGTTGAGATTCAAATCAACCAGAGTGAAGAGACATCATTGAACAGATTCAGGAAGTGCCAGACGTTAGTAGTAGGGCTAAGCCAGTTGTAGAGTTAAGGCTATTCTAGACCTGTCCTAACAAATATATGAATTAGAACTATGTAACATAGTAGTCACTACCCACATGTGGCTATTGAACCTTTGAAATATGGCTAGTACAGGATATTAGGCCTTTGTCCGACATAATTAGCGAATATTTTTCCCATTCTGTGGGTTATCACCCCACTCTCTTGATGGTTTCTTTTGCTGTGCAAAAGCTTTTCAATTTGATGGAATCCCACTTGTCTAGCTTATCTTTTATGGCATTTGCCTTTGGGGATTTGGTCAAGAATTTGTTGCCTACTACAATGTGCATAAGAGTATTTTCTACATTTTCTTCTAGGGTTCTCATAGTTTGAGTTTACATTTAGGTCTCTAATCCATTTAGAATTGGTTTTTGTCTGTGGTGATAGGTAGGAGTCTTGTTTCATTCTTCTGCATGTGGTCAGCCAGTTTTCTCAGCACCACTTGTTAAATATGGTCTCCCTTTGCTGGTGAGGATATGGAGAAAAGGGAATGCTTGTACACTGTTGGTGGGAGTGCAGGCTAGTTCAGCCTCTATGGAAAGCAGTGTGGCAATTCCTAAAAGAACTAAAAACTGACCTTCCATGCGATCCAGCAATACCTCTCCTGGGAATATACCCAAAGGAACATAAATCATTCTACCAAAAAGACACCTGCACACGCAGGTTTATAGCTGTGCTATCACAATAGCAAAAGCATGAAACCAACCCCACTACCCATCAAAAGAGGACTGGATAAAGAAAATGTGATACATATACACGATGGAATATTACATAGCCATAAAGAAGAACAAAATCATGGAATCTGCAACAAATTAGATGGAGATGGAGACCATCACACTTAGTGATCTATTACAGAAACAAAGAACTGAATACCAAATGTTCTTACTCATAAGTGGGACCTGACCATTAATCGCATTAGCACAAGGGAGGGCCAGCAGTCAATGAACACTGCCAGAACAGGGAGAGAGGGAGGGGAAAGTGTAACATCACAAAGGGTATCTGGTCCTAAGCCAGTGAGGGCTAGTTGGAAGTCCAAACTTCACCTGCATGCAGACTGCTTATACAGCTAATTCTGACTTGTACCCTACATATCTATAATTAAAACATAAAACAAAATAAATGTATAATTTTAAGAGTGCACAATTTTGTGGTTTTTAGGACAGCCACAAAGTTGAGTAACCATTGCCACTATCTAATTGTATAGATTAGATACAGATTATAGATTAGATTATATAGAGAGATTATAGATTAGATACAGAACATTGTATCACACTGAAAGGGAACTCTGTATCCATTAGCAATCACTCCTATTTCTCACTGTCTCCCTGGTAACCACTAATCCATGTTTTGCCTCTATGAATTTGCCTATTCTGGACATTTCTTGACATTTCCTATAATGATCATATAAGGAAAAAAAAAAAAAGAAATGTGGCTAGTCCAACTTGTGATGTGTTTATAAGTATAAAGCTTATAAGCCAGATTTTGAAGACTTAGTAAGGAAAAAAAGAATATGAACTATCTTATTAATAGGTTTCATACTGTTTACATGTTGAAATGTTAATACTTTGGGAATAATGGGTAAAATAAAATACATTATTAAAATTAAAATTTAAAAAAGAGAAATGGTCCAATAGTCACCAAGTAGCTAGAATGGAAAGTATGAAGGAACGAATATTTCAAAAGTTCCATTTAGCTTTCTTACTGATAGAACCTAACCCTTGAAATTTATATTTTCTTATCCATATTCCAGTATCTGGAATATATATATATATATATATATATATATATATATATATATATGTGTGTGTGTGTGTGTGTGTGTGTGTGTGTGTGTGTGTGTGTGTATATTTTTTTTTTTTTTTGAGTTGGAGTCTCACTCTGTTACCCATACTGGAATGCAGTGGCATGCTCCCAGCCACCGCAGCCTCCACCTGCTGGGTTCCGGCTGTCCTTCCACCTCAGCCTTCCAAGTAGCTGGAATTACAGGCATGCGCTACCACACCCGGCTGATTTTTTTATTTATTGTAGAGATGAGGTCTCGCCAAGTTGCCCAGGTGGGTCTCAAACCCACGGGCTCAGGCAATCCACTCACCTCAGCCTCCCAAAGTGCGGGATTACAGGCTGAGCCACCGAGCCAGGCTTGGAAGAGATCTTCTTGACAACAACCTTTGAAAATAATTAGTTAATTACTAAAAAGGGCTTTAAAAAGGAAATACCTCCTAAGAGACCAGAGAAAGCACTAAAGATTCATCAACAAGTTACATTTAGCAGTAGTTAGAGAAAAGGAAAACAAAGAAAAAAGCAAGCTTCCACCAACAAGCAGATAACCAGAAATATCAAAAACATCATTTTAATTATTTGTAGTTATATTTTATATTTCCAAACAAGAGGGGAAAAAATCCTCCATCAATGGAAGTTCATTAGGTAGTTTTAGGTATCTTCTTTAGTTTATGACTGTCTTCAGCTTACATTTATAAAAATATAAATAGTTATTTACTAAAATTCACATTTAATACAAATGTTCAGAAAGGTTTAAATACAAAAGTCAAAGAGTAGTAGTAAGAAGGGGGCTCATTTATCTAAGAAACTTCAGGGAATAATAAGAGAAATTCCTAAATCCAGATGTTGATTTTACTTTTGCTGTGTATAAGCTGGCATTTGTAGCAAAAGGGGACACATGAGGAGTTACTGAACATTTTGCTGGCTGGGGGCAAAAAAAAGAATCTACTTCATTACCTTTGGTGATAGATATGGGTTCATGACATGCCACAACGCTACCTTCTATAATAGCAGTTAGTATCTCCAAACGAGGCTAGAATTCTAAGAGCACTCCTGACTTTTGGTGAATCATTAATTATTTCTTTGGTGATACTTCTAGGTTTGGGGGTATATTAATTAGGCCATCAAGATGAACATCAAAAAGAAAATGGAGAGGTAACAAGGCTCTGGTAATACTCTACTGCTCAAAATACTTTTTTTTTTTTTTTGAGTTGGAGTCTCACTCTGTTGCCCAGACTGGAGTGCAGTGGCACGTTCATGGCCACCGCAGCCTCGACCTGTTGGGCTCCGGTGATCCTTCCGCCTCAGCCTTCTAAGTAGCTGGAACTACAGGCGCGCGCTACCACGCCCAGCTAATTTTTGATTTATTGTGAGATGAGCTTTTGCCAAGTTGCCCAGGCAGGTCTTGAACCCGCGGGCTCAGGCAATTCACTCACCTTGGCCTCCCAAAGTGCAGGATTACAGGCTGAGCCACCGAACCTGGCTTCAAAATGCTTTTGATACCTGAGAAACAAGTAGATTCTTTTGATCAAGTAAAATGGCACACAAATATAAAAGAGTCAAATATTATAGTTTCTGTGAGAGTTCAAAATTGAAATACTGCACAATAAAATGCAATAATCTATGCAAAGATCTTGGAGGTTATTAAATTCTGCATTCAAGTATATATGTGTTACCTGAATATAATCACCTCAGAGATGTAAACATGGAGTTGCAGAGGTCATTTAAAGGCAAATTATGGCCTATTCAGTGACTGTGACATTTCAACAAAAGGTCATAACTTCTATGGAAGCATGGAATGGGGTCAGCCTGTAGACAGACATCTGTATTAACATACAGTAGTTACACTCACATCTACAGAATCATACGCTAGTTGCTAGAGCATGACCCTAATCTTTTGTCCTTTGCATATGTTCTTATAGGTATACCTAACATGTCATTGAATTTACTCTTGACTGTGTCCGTTTTCCCAACTAGATATTAAACATCCTTGAAAGCAGAATCATGAGCTATTAAAAATCTGTAAATATATTAATCTCTAAAAACCTAATAAATGATAAGAAAAGACATTCCCAGAACACACCCAGCAGCATATACAGCTAGTGATGAAGGCATTTTCAAATACTGATTGTAAGTGTTCCTAACTGAGTTAGTTGTTTTCACTTTAGACCAAGCTTTGGCTTTCATTTTCATTTCTGAAGTTTGAATTTTCATGGCGACTAGTAATGTCCTTCCGAACTATGTCCCGAATTTTATCTGCAACAGCACAAAGATTGGCTTTTTTGAGATTATCAATCAGTGTGTTATAGGCATCTTTCTTCCCATGGACTTGATACCAGGTATTAAGCAGCTGGACTTTCTGTTCAGCTGTATCTCGGAGATTGTCATTCATGATCTCATCTATTTTGGTTTCATCCACACCATTCTTTCGAACAAATTTTTTAACTTGTTTTATTGTCATGAGTTCAGCAATAGTAGTGATGTAATCACTCAAGTCAACATCTGAAAGATAAAAAATAGTCTGAAATAAATGAAGTCTCCATTACAGAAAACCATGTTTATTTTTTTTTTTATAGTACTTCAGAATATGGGCTAGTCCTAGAGATCTAAAGAGCTAATTGGGGGAAAATGAAAACAAAATAACCTTAAGTTCGAACACCAATTCCTGCTATGTCCCCAGTAATTTGTTATAAGACCTGGGTGTGATATGTAAAGTCTCTGTATCTTCTTTTCTCATTTATAAAATAAGAGGTTGGGAAAGATCACCTCTAATATCCCTTATGGATTTGATGATCAATGGCCCACAAACTTAAAAGAACAAGCAGAAAGTTTATGATCATCTTATATCTGAATCACAGATCAAATAACAATGGATTAGAATCATGTATGGAATTATACAGTTGGGTATACCAATAGTAAATGAGTTTAGAGATGAGTTTAACCCTTATATCAATTTCTGCAGAAGTTGTGTAATACATCTAACTAGTTATAAAGGAAAATTCTCTTAGGCCTCAGAATATAGTATCCTAGTGTTAACTGATTTATTTTTAACTAGGGTTATACATTACAATTTAAACAAACTGCCTGATAAATCCTTTATAGTAAGTGGGAACTATACAAGAACTGCACAAGAAATAGATTTGTACAAGAAACAAGATACACAAGAAAAAGATCCCACAATATGTCACTCAAATTAGCAACATTATTTTACTCTAAAGTGGGCTTATTACTCCAAAGAAAGCCATCTCTATGAAATAAAATGACAAAACCTTACCAGATGAATTAATTGGCACTATTTCCTGGAGAGAAAAAAAAATGGAGGCAGAGAGAGAGATAAATAAAAATATGTCTGGAATATTATAAGTGTAAGCTTCTCATTTTCCCTTAATTCTGAAAGAAGTACAATCAGTTGCTTGATGTATAAAATTAGGAAACTAGACTGAACGATTAAGGATTATTTTACCATCCAATTTTGATTTTGAAAGGTTCTAGCCTTCCTGAAAACTAAGCAATATTGTCTCATTTTTTACAAAGGCAAGGCACCTAAGGGTGTCATGGAATAGGCTGAGATTACCTTTTGTATAGACTCATTAAAATAAGCAGTAAGCATTATCACTCTAAAATCTTCTTCACTGTAACTGTTCTTGTTTATGACACTAGAAAATGGTTCAAATTGAAATTTTTTTGTACCATATTGATTTAAAGAACCCTAACTCCCACCGAGCCCTGGCCCCAAATAAGAAAATTATTCAATTAAGTGGAACTGATTTCTTTTCCTAGTGTATCTTTTTGCTATTTGAAATGCCTTAATCCCATATATATTGGGAAAATATATGGCAAGAGATGAGGTCAACAGGTGCTGGAGGAAGTTGAGCTGTGCTTTTATAATGGACTTTAAGAGCCATCTCTTTGCCCAGGTTTAGCGACTAAATCTACTCTCTGGAAAATTGTCTCTCTGCAGGGATAACACCAACATGGAATATGGAGCTTGGCCAAGTCCTTTTTTCAACTCATATCCAGCACACTCTCACTACAATTTTTGTGTAGAAACTTACTTAAAAATTGGGCACCATATCTCAATTCATATTTGATGCCCCTTTAACCCAAGCATACACAAATGCAATAAATATTTGTTTAATAGAAAGTAGAAAATAAAAGGCTGAGTTACTAATTTCAATTTTTTTTTTCAAGAAAGCCAACATATATTTCAACACCTACAATATTTACCATTTTAGATTCTTGGTGACCTTGGTTTTTATTGCTGCACTTCTTATGTTTTCTCAGCACTGAAACATCAAATAAATTTTTATCAGACTCAAACCTTAGGCTTGCAGGATGCACATGAGAACATACTTTCACATTAAGAGAAGTATAAGAAGGAACTTAAAGGTAGCCAAACAGCACAGAAGGCAGCACCATGCTGATCTCGGAACTCTCAACCCACTGAGTCAAGTATTCTAGTGATAGGGCATATCTTAATTGAGTCATCTAATTACCACACACTGGCCTAGCATGGGGATGACTTTTGATGTATTGTATGGCCACCACCACTCCCTCACCAACAAAGAGGTAGTTGACAGGGCTACGTCATGGCACAGAAGCCATAGGAAAGGAGAGCCAACATCAACTTGCCATGGAGTAGCACATAATGTTCAGAAATTCAAGTACACACACTCACCAATAACTCAATATAAACACTCAATGAATGTATGCTCTGAAGTCAATGTGAGATGGAAGAAAGGTCTCTTTATACACAGTTTCTGAGCACAACTACAATGTTTAAACATTAAGAATGTTTAGCTAAAAATGTCTAAAGGCAAGAAAATCTCTTTATCTTCAGCTGAACTGAAGAAACTGCATTATTCCAGTGAAGAAGAAAAAGGATGCTTCTGAGTTATTGAAAGTTGGTATGATCCTATATTTTATGAATGATTTAAAGGGATTTTTCTAGACTGATTATGATTATGCCCAATTTTGACTTATCTGATGACTTCACTAAGTCACTCTTGCATAGATTGATCACCATAGCAAGTTAAAGAGGAGAAATAATTAAAAACATGCTATTTTGTCAAAGGAGAGGAGACATAGAGAAGGACAAGCTTATCAAGTGTTCCCTGGAATGCCTTTCCTGGGAATACCTTTGCTTCTTGAGTTCTTCCCCCACGGGGAGATCTCCATGAATAGTGAAGACTTACTTCTGATTTTTGGCCAACTCTGGTGCTGCAGAGAACCCTTGTTCATGGGGAAGACTGGAACACCACTCAATGCCCCCAAACCGTTAATCAGAAACAATAGCTGAGGGATAATTTCATCTGTTCTTATCAGCTCTCAAGGATACATTCAGTGGCAGGAAATTAACGAACAGCAGATGTGCCTACCTGGTAGCTTTCTCATAGGTAGGAGATGGAGGGAAATTCTTGTAAACAACTACTTTCCAAGTCACTTCAATCTACAGTTTGAACAAAGAAAGAACTTACCCCAAGCAGCAATAATTCCTAGAATTGGAAGCAGGATACACAGCCATAACAAATTAGAGCTGGATCCTGCAGATTGGAACATTGGACATTTTATAGAAAAATAAGCAGTCTTTAAGAATAAACAAAGTATTTTCAAATAATCAAAAGTGGTTGGCTTTTCTTCATGTTTTACTGTGGGGATGGGAGAAAAGAGAATATAGCCATAAAAATAAATAATTGGCCTGGTACGGTGGCTCAGTCTGTAATCCCAGACCGAGGCAAGAGGACTGCCTGAGCCCGGGGGCTCGAGACCAGCCTGGGCAACTTGGTGAGATCTCATCTCTACAACAAATCACAAAAACTAGCTGGGTGTGGTGGTAGTGTGCATCTGTAGTTCCAGCTACTTGGAAGACTGAGGCGGAAGGAACACCTGAGCACAGCAGGTCTAGGCTGCGGTGGCCATGAGCATGCCACTGCACTCTAGCCTGGGTGACAGAATGAGACTCAACTCAAAAAAATAAATAAATAATTACCATTCTGTTTGCATTTGGTGTTGCTGGTTAGTGTACATTTCTCTATGATTCCATGTTCACACCTAGAAAAAGAATCCAGGGAAAATTTAAAAACCTTAGTGAAATAATTCTCTATCATTTTCAATGGTACACTATAAATTAGGAGCCATTTTACTCATCTTTGCATCTCTGGCAAACATATTCCTTCAAATATTTCTAGATTAGCCCTAAAGCTGATACATGTTAATAACGTAATTTAAAGGTTTGGATGAAAAATTTCTTAAGGAGTGACTCTATGTTTTAAGACTTCAAGAGTTAAGGGAAAGTAATAAAATACTGGCATAAAAGAGAGAATGAAATGGACACAAAAGTAAGCTTAAAACTGGTAATAGAGTTAACACTTAACTACGAGGGCTTAAACTAGCTCTTAAAATAGACTGCCAAAAGTAATTTGAAAAAATTCCCATATGGCCAGGCACAGTGGCTCACGCCTGTAATCCCGGCAATCTGGGAGGCTGAGGCGAGAGGTTTGCTTGAGTCCAGGAATTTGAGACCAGACCAGGTAACATAGCAAGCCCTCACCTCTGCAAAAAAATTTTAAAAATTAGCCAAATATGGTGTCGTGCACTGTAGTCCCAGCTACTCAGGAGGCTGGGGAAGAAAGATTGCCCGAGTCCAGTAGGTCAAGGCTGTGGTGTGCTGTGATTCTACCACTGCACTGCAGCTTGGGAGACAGAGTGAGACCCTGACTCAAAAAAAAAAATCCATAGAAAAGTAACATGGCCAGACAATAGCCACTGACCATGAAGCTGCTTAGGGAAGCCACTTGGCTAGCCCTTAAAAGTTGCCACTTTTAGCATCAAGAGGTCATTGGAAGACTCAAGAGGTTCATGTGGGATTTTCTTCAGACAGCCTAATCCTTACAGTTCACAGCCTGTCTCTGCCCATTACCTAACTAAGGTGAGCCTGGGAAATCAGTTAACCACCACAGGTCCGGTAGCTAACTCATGGAGATAATAGTATTATCTATCTCTAGCAAATAAGACACAGGCATCATGTCCCTACTTTTTCAGCCTATTAGGTGAACTAAAAATTAACCGAAATGAATTACAAGTTTAAGGAGAGACAAATGGATAGTAAATCTAAATGTTTAGCAAAAGCTACTTGGACAACACATATTACCCAACCTGATCTTCACATAAATGAGGTAGCTAGGACAAGTAACTATTACTTGCATGCCATGAGTGAGGAAATTGAAGCCCAGACAGGTCAAGTGATGTGTTCAAATTCACCCAGTTAATCAGCAGAAAATTGAGATGTACAATCAGGTTATTCTAACACAGGGTCAAAACCAAACTCTTTGGCATAAAAGACGAGTCCCTTCATAATCTGGCCCTGAGTCCTTTTCAGTTTTTGCTGCACCCCAGCCAGATGTCCTGTTTGTCTGAGCTTCCTCCATTTCTTTGCAGTTGCTGCTTCCCTGCTTAAAATGTGCTTTCCATTCGTGTACACCTGCTAATGCTCTTTCTTTTCTTCATTCAAGACTCAAACCATGTGTCATGTCTTCACCCCATCTCCTCAGCAGAATTTAAAAGTTTTCCTGAACACAAGATTCTTCGGAGGCTTGTCACATGGTGTTGACACATAATAACCACTGCTTTTTCTTGACTGTCTCTGTCTCTAGACTGATACTTGATGCCAGAACTGTATCTCGCTCATATCATTAACTTAAGCAGCCAGCACAGTGTCGCTTGCACAGGAAGTGTTCAGTAATGTTTAAAAGAGCAAATGATCATATAGTTACCTGGAAGCAAAACAAGACTAGAACCCTAATTCTTAACTCTTAGTCCATGTTACTTCCCTAGGAAGATGGCATATTTTAAGGTATAGCTAGTGTTTTAATCGGAGAAAGACTAAAACTTACTTGGAGCAAGGGTCACAGTGTTCACATACAGAAGCGTTACAAAAAAAGTTTGATTTACATCTGCACTTGGTATTCTGGATCCGGGTACAGTTTTTTTCCACTTCTAAGCCTAGAAAATCAGTTTGCAAACTATTAGTTGTAGTACCTAGTTATAAGTGGACTATGAAAATGGCAGGCTTCATGCATTTTTGAAATCCACTGCTTCTATTAACAGTCACACCACCACACCATCACACGGAACTGGTGATTACACACAAAACAGGCAACCCCAGGTAGAAATGGCCAGCAATCAGCAGAGTTTTAAGAGGACAGACAATCCAGCAATCGAGACGAAACTCACCATTGCCTAGATGACTCCCTTGTTCCTCTAGCCTAGAGCCTACAACTCAAAATGTGATCTGTGGACCAGCCACATCAGCATCACCTGGGAGCTTGTTAGAAATGCAGAATGTTAGGCTCCACCCTAGACTTACTCAATCAGACCAATCCCAAGGGCTTCACTGAGAGATTCTGATTTCATTGCCCTGAGGCGGGACCTAAACATTGGCATTTTTAGTAGTCCCCTAAGCAATTCTAATGCAAACCCAGGGGTGAGGAATATTGATTAGAGACTAAAAGGGAGGAGAAAAGCTTTATGTCCAGAGGTTTCCTGATACACAACAAAACTAGAAAGTATTAGTAGTACTTGAAGTATTTCTGTTATATTTTAGTCTGGGCCCTCAGAATAGATTGAGATATCCACGAAAATTCAAGTCCCCAACTGGAATTATCAGGACAAACCAAATCCCCAAAGAAGGAGACAGCAACCCATCCACCTCTTGGGTTTCTCTGTCCTTGTATCTGCAGGCTTCTGAGCTCTTTCTGACCACGAACAAGAGCCAAAAAAACAAGCAGAAATAAAAATAGCTTCTGAGGTTTTGACTGAAGGTGATGACTCCTGTTGCTAGGGCTCATATTACTTCATTCTCCTACATCTGGAGAACTACCCAGCCTTACTCATACATGTCTAGACCAATGGTTAGCTCAGTACCTAGCCAGGCCCATCCTTCCCCTTCCCATATGTCAACATAGCACCAGAGTAGGTCCGAATTGCAAACATTATTATAAAGGAGTCTACATGAAGCACCAAGATTGGTCTCTTTTAGTTGCTTTTGAAGACTCTTACCATGTCCTTCATCACAAAATCTGCATAATCTGCATCTAGAAGAAAAATGATTTTTGTCGGTGTACTCCTTCCCTTCTTGGCAAGACACGCAGACTGGCTCGTCCCCATCGGCTGTGCATTCCTTTTCTTTACGAAAGCCTACCCGTGAAAAAGAGGTGCAAGTGTTTGAACAGGCAACAGTCTGGGAAGTATGCAAGGTAACAATAAAGAAGTTGTAAAACACAAGGGTATGTGAGAAGTAGGCCAATGATACATATACAACGAGGGAGAAGATTATTGTAAAAATCATCAAGAGCCAGAAAGTCTCCCAAGACAGAAGAGTGACTAAAGAAATATGCCTATAGATATAGGATGACTAACAAGAGGACCATACAAAAAACAAAACAAAAAAGGTAGTTCAGAATAACCAAATGCTTTACCAGCTATCTTCTTGGGGAAAAGAGGAGAGGTTGGTAGTTTTATGTTCAGAATGGAGATGGCTGTTACTGGCCCCTGAGATTACCAAACCAATTCACATTGGTATGACTTGTCACTTTACTTCGTAAGGTCCACAAATCCTCGCAAGATATAGTATAGTTTAAGGAAAAGAATATTTGAAATTCTGAAGACTTTACTCAAATCTTAAGTAGCTATAAAATCTTCAACCAAGTGTTACTCTCTCAAAACCTGAATTTCATTCTGCATATGATGGAGATAGTTATCCTTTGCTTGAATTGCTGCCAGAACTGCACATGGTCTGCCTAGTGGATTTTCACAGTTCTTTTTTCTCTCCCTTTTCTTGTGTTACTTTTCCATCAAAAGACAGGGTATGTTTGGATGAGCAGGCATGAGCATATTTATTCTGCAGCCTCCATGTGCTGGGTTCAGACTATCCTTCTGTCTCAGACTTCCAAATGGCTGGGTCTACAGGTGTGTGCCACCACGCTTGTCTAATTTTTTTAATTTATTGTAGGAATGAGATTTTGCCAAGTTTCTCAGGCTGGTGTTGAGCTCCGGGGCTCATGTAATCCTCTTGCCTGGCCTCCAAAAGTGCTGGGGTTACAGGTGTGAGCCACCACGCCCAGACAAAGAGATTTATATAATCGAGGATTGTGTTAGAAATATACTAAAAATATGACTTTGATTGATACATAATATTCCAATATTTTAGTACTCCACTTAAGCAATCCCACATCATTGGATATCACAATGAAATGTTTATTCATACAATATTTTCCTTTATTTTGATTATTTTCTTGGTGCATTTTCCTATAAATCAATTACTGCCTCAGTGAGTATAAGCATTTTTACATTTTTGATCCATACATCCAAATTTCTTTCTTAAAAGTGTGTAATAACTTATATCCCAATAGTGGCATATGAGAGTTCTTACCTCAAAAGCAAATTCACCAGGGCTGAGATCACTTCTTAAAGGAAAATAAAACAAAGCAAAGGCAAAAAAGCAACAGACAAAAATGCTTAATAGCTTGATGTGCAAAGCATATCTTCTTGATTTTAATTTGCATTTTAGATTTTCAAATTATGAACAAAGATTTCGATTCATAGCACAAGTTGATTGTGTTTAGTAAGTTAAAATAAAAGCAGGAAGTCATTCTTTATTCCTGTTTTGAGTAGAGTTGCATGTAAATGGATTTAAGTATAAACAGGTTGTGTTATAGGGGAGATTTTTCCATAAGGGTTATTAAAATCTGACAGGAGGCAAAGGGAGACTGGTAGAATCTTTTCATAAACAAGACCCATGCCTGTTTTGCAGCATGAGAGAGGGAAGCCTGGTAGGCCAACCATGAAACCTATTACCGTCCTTTTTGGTTCTATCAGTCTATCTCATGAACCCATATGCTTTACCGTCCTGTCTTACTTCACAATGCAGTTGGGAGAGATCCATATCTGTAGCCAACTTTACTCCAAATGGAAAAAGTTTGCACAGTTGCATTTTGTTTAGCCTCTAATTTGCTAGTGCTTGAAGCAATTCTGATCTGAAATTAGTTTGCATTTCAAAGTACTGATTTTTTAAAAAACTGTTAGTTTCTGTTCGTTGCTTTTCTAGTTCACCTAGTTATTCAGCTGCAAAATGCAAATATATTTTGCAAGTTTCAGTGCTAGGATAGCTTTCTTAGAGACCTTCCGATTGAAGGGGAGTGCTGAGATATATTCCCTAAGGGTAGAAGTCCCTTGCTTCCAGAGTTCCACTATTATGATGAGATATCCTAGTCAATTTTGACATAATAAGCTTTAATACATGCAAATGACTCTTTTTTTGCTCATAAAAAAATGGAGCAAAATAGACAAATTTTCTCATTTCAGTGGTGTGTGTCATTTGTAAATTATATTTATTTGTAACTACATCAAAACAAATGTGATAAAATGAATGAAACGGGTCTTGGGAAAATGATTTTCTAGGTGTTCATTTTTCTCCCAGTTATGCTACATAATACAGGAGAACCAAAAGCTGTAAAATTATTATATTCACTACTCCTATATGCTACTCCTCACCCTGATTTTCGTTCAAATCTCTGGATGTGCAACATACCAGGAGGACAAAACTTTTGGCACAATTGGTCCTCGTGATGCTGACCATCCACACTCCGAATCTTGATTTTAGTAATATTTTTCCCCAATTCCAACCCCTTGGGGTTAATATCAGTCACTTGGGCATTAACACTTTTGGACCATAATCCAGCGACAGAGGTAAGTACCTGTAAAAGAAAAGCATGAAGAGAATGTTATTGATTTCTGACCTAAGTATAATGGTAAACAGGTGCAGTTCACTCAAAATGGTGCTATCTGCTGTGCACAGTCAAGGTCAATGTGGGAATGCCACCCTCTTGGGGACGTATCTCCAAGAAAGGTGCAGATCACCTGCATGGCAGTTCAGACTACACGTTCTTCAAACCACACTACCATCATGGATGGTAGCAGCCCAGGCTCTGCTAGAAAATGAACACTGCCTTCCACTAACCACTCTGTGTTGGTAGATCAAATCACTTAAATTCTCTAAATCTTAGTTTCTTTATCTATAAAGTGAAAATAACCTCTTCCTCATAGGTTTGCTGGGATAACTAAATGGAACAATGCACTTAAAGCTCTCACCACAGAGCCTGACACATAAGTAAGTGCCCAATAAGTGGTATTGTTATGATTAAAGTTCTAGTGAGAGACAGCATAGTGGAGCGGGAAAAAGAGAAATTTCAAAACAACTGTGGTTTGAATCCCAGTTCTGTGTGTGTATGTGCATGTCCCCTATGGGTATAGCACCTTGTCCTTCTTGGTATGCTAATTTCACCCAATATTTAGGGGACACAGGATTAGTAGTGGGCCCACAATTCCTGGTTTAAATGGTCAAGTACCCAGAGAAGCAGCGGAGATAAAAGAAATAATTTGTCCAATAACCCGCAGTTGAGAGGACTCAGACCCAGCACACTTCTAGCCCCAATCTAAGCTGTTTCAGATTTGTAAAATATTGGATTGATGCATAAGTTCACAGCATTTTTCGCTTGCCTATGGAATGTAAATGTCGCACGATTGTTGAATGGTTCATCACATTCGCCAATTCTCGGGTTGACTGACATGGATCACTGTGTATTAAAGCGTTTAAACAGTCATCATCAAAGCCTGATGGTGTTCTTGAATGTGGAGAATCACTCAGGTCAAAGTGGTCCTCTTTGAAAAGACATCACAATTTTCTTGCCATGCTTTCCCGGATGGCATTCTCCCCGTAAACTCCACAAATGTTTCAAGCCGCCTCCACTCCCTTTACCCCTCTGTTAAACTCAAATAGAAGATGTTAGAAGTGTTTGGTTGTTTTTTTTTCCCTTGACACTCCATCTTCTTTAGCCCACAAACAGCACTAACTTTTTCTTCAAATAGGCAAAATGCAGGGAGTATTCACAGGCACAACACTGTCATTCCAAACAAATGATAATCAAACTCCCAATACCATGGGAGTTTGCTTGGCAGTGTTGCCATACCTAAAACAAATATTACAAACTTATGCATCACCCTAATAGTTTCCTAATTACAGTACTTTTACTTCGTGTAGGCATGCAAACAACTCAATTTGTTTTCAGGCAAGAAGACTGCAGGTTAATTAGACAATGAACCTTCAAACCGAGTGGATATTGGGGAAACGGATGGTGTTTGGCAGAATTTCTCTGAGAAGCAGAAGCCAGTCCCAAGCCCACTCATCTGAGAAAACTGTAACAAAAGCCCCAAAGCCAGGGCTCTGGCAGGCGGAAAAGGTGAAACTTGCCAGCCCTGGCCTGAAGTTTGGGAAGAAGTGGAGTTTGTGTTTCCCTCTCCTTAGTTTGGGTGCTGAATTTCTCAGAATAACCGTGACCATGAGTGCAGTCTCTTGAAGTGAGGATCCGATATGCAGTCATATTGAAACTGGAATTCATTCCTTTGAACATCTCAGAAGCAAGAACACATGAGAGCTTGTTCCTTGTATAAGATGATAAGAAACTGAGAGAACCATTGGGTATTCATTTATGATCGGCAGCACCAGTGAATAATCACTTTTCATAGCCCACCAGGTTACTGAATGGAAGAAATGGTGCAAGAATGGGCAGATGATGACTGACCACCCCTGCCCGTGTGCCACTCCAGTCTGACAAGTTCTCCACACTTTCTCAGGAATGGTCAACTCTCGGGATCTAACAAGGCAGTTACAAATAGAGCAACATCTCAGAGACTGAATTAAACAAACTACTAGAAGAAACTGAGACTTCCCATTCAGGATTATTCCAAAAAGTCAGTGTGGCAATCAGCCCTGAGAAATGAGCTAGGATTTATAAAGGAAGCAAAAACTTTTTTTAAAACTCACCTTTTTTTTTTCCTGTTCTTATTGACATTCAAAGCAAACAGGAAAAGATTTTTTAAAAGCAGACCAAAAAAAAAAAAAGAAGAAGAAGAAGAAGAAGAAGAAGCAGTAGCAGCAGCATTGGACGGTGAGAAATAACAGTTCTCAGAATGGCAAGAATGAGCAGACAGATACCCAGAATAGTCGGTGAGAGTTCCCAAGCTGAGTACAGGCATCAGACTGCAAACAGTCACAACACTGTGAGGGAGTAGCACACTCTACCGTGATCATGGTGAAGAGGTTTTACTTCTAACCAAAGCCCACGGGGGAGCTTCTCCAATATGACCCAAATTGTTCTCAACTACAGCAGAAAAAAAAAAAAATGCCCTCTTAATGACGGGATAAATGGTCCAGACAATTCAACGTCAGATGTTTAGGGATTAAGAAAGTGGAAGGAAGGGGACTAAAAGAAAGACATTTCAAGAAAAAAAAAGTTTCAGCAAGATATTATCTTTTAGCACATCACAATTTGAGTAATGATTATTTCTAGTTTTCAAGACTGTGAAGGACTTTTTTCCTTCATTGGCTTAATTCAACTCATTTCATTGCTTAACTCATCTTTTTTCTACAATGCACATGTGTGCACTATAGAATAAAAAAATTAAAAGGAAAATCTTTTGTGGTAGTAATATTGTGTTAAACCTAAAGATCTATATTAATTTATCCCTTGTGTTTTTTTTTCAATAAGTTAAGAAAATCTGGATAATAATGATAGTGAATTTATAATAGCAACTTATCTCATATTTGAAAGGTGGGAAAACAATTCTAGATCTTTGAATTAATAGCATTGAATCCTTCATATAAATTTTGTGAGTTTTTTTTTCCTTCTTGAGGTTTCTTTGGCAGTCTTGTGATTTTTACTAAATCAAACTATAACTATTAACCTTGGTTTAGTTGGGTATATTTTCTTAAATTAGTACAATGAAGGCTATTTTATTTCCCTTTGGTCCACCGAGACTAAGGATATCACTATTCATAATAGTTGCTGGATGGTAAAGAAGATTCTGTTTTATTTTTAAAGTAAAAATATTGGACAAAAAGATGTGTCACACTAAAGGCAACTTTAATTTTTGAAATCAAAAGCTTAGTTACACCAATCACAGCAAAATGCTAACTATGGTTTGCACGAAGTTCTGTCTTTGACGAAATTTTGGTTTACTTTTCTTTAAGAATTCTTACCAGGGAAATATACTTAATTCACCACACCCTGACAGATTTCCATGTGAAAATGCAACACTTGAGTTGCTGGCTGCCATGAGACAATGAGATAAACAAAAGTTATATCATAATTTAGGATCTCCTATGCTGTTACTGGACTATAAATAGATATATTTCTCAGAAGGCTATTCTTAAAAGTGTACCTTTTTATACAAGTATAATAGTTACCCTTACAACAAGTTTAATAAAATAAAATACACAGTTTAAAGGTCATTAATATGAATGCTAATAGAATTACTGGAAGGTTAGACATCTCAAATTGAAAGTGGACATTTAAACCTCTGACTCTGGCCAGGCGCGGTGGTTCACGCCTGTAATACCCATCACTTTGGGAGGTCAAGGTGAGAAGATTGCCTGAGCCCAGGGGTGAGACCAGCCTGGTCAGCTAGACAAGACCTCATCTCTACAATAAATTTAAAAAATTAGCCGGGTGTGGTGGCATGTGCCTGTAGTTCTAGCTACTCAGAAGGCTGAAGTGGAAGGATCACCTGAGCCCAATGGGTCAAGGCTGCAGTGGCCACGAGTGTGCCACTGCACTCCAGTCTGGGTGACAGAGTGAGACTCCTACTCAAAAATAAATAAATAAGTAAATAAATAATAAGTCCTTGGTTCTGGATTTCAAATAGATTGATGAGACTAGATGGGTTACAACTCAAAATAAATAAATAATAAGCCCTTGGCTCTGGATTTCAAATAGATCAGTGAAAATAGATGGGTTATAGAGTTCCAGAGAAAAAGAATCTCTTCCCTACCCCCCAACCTCTTTCAGAATTCAGCTAAGAGGTAACAGAAGGCAGAGGGACATTTAAGAGAATGGTAGACATAGAAAATGAGAATTTTTTTTAAAGGTGTTGACACCAGGAAAGCTTCCAGCTATTTCCTAAAATTTTAAATATTTAAACTGAAAGTTGTCATCTCATTATATTTATGGTTTAGAGCAGAAAAGACTTCATAGATGACCTAACCTTAGTACCTAACAGAGACAGCTCTGCTCCAAGTTGGTGAAATGGCTGGCCCACAGCCATGCATCTAGCACAAGAGATTCAAGACTCTTATGGGCTAAATTGTATCCCCTCCCCCGACACCCTTAAATTCATATGGTGATGTCCTAATCCCTAAGTATCTCAGAATGTGACTGTATTTGGAGGTAGGGTCTTTATAGAAGTGATTAAGTTAAATGAGGTCAGTAGGGTAAGCACTAATGCAATACCACTGGTGACATTTTAAGAAGAGGAAATTTGGACACATATACAGACAGAGGAAGACAACAGGAAGAAGAAAGACATTTACAAGCTAAGAAGAAAGGCCTGAAACAGATTCTTCCCTCATGGCCCTCAGAAGGAACCAACTCTGATGGCACCTTGATCTCAGACTTCTAGCCTCCAGAACTGTGAAAAAAATGAATTTCTGTTGTATAAGCCATTCAGTCAGCAACCCTAAGAACTTAGTGTAAGGACCAAACTTTTCCAAATCCTTACAGGAATCAGAATCATCAAGTAATAGGCCCGTGTGTGTGTGTGTGTGTGTGTGTGTGTGTGTGTGTGTGTGTGTGTGTGAAATTTGACAAATTAAGTATATATATTTATGGTGTACAATATGATGTCCTGAACTATATACACA